CAAAAGGTGTCTCGCCGGCCCGCGCGAGACACCTCAAGTGTCTCACGCGGATCCGAACAGCAGGTATTTGGCCCTGTTTCCTTGGTATAAATAGGAACTCGTTCCTAGAGTTTCCTAGAGGGTTTTCTGAGGTTTTAGGCGGCTACAGAGAGAGTTTTTCAAATCTAAAAAGTGAGATCTTAAGGAGAGAAAATAGAGTGAACTTGGAACGATTGTACAAGAAAGAGGTCAGTTTTCTTGGGTAAAATTGAAGTCCTCTTCTCTTTGGGACGAGCTTGCTGGTTGTGCAAGTCGTCGGTGTTATCCTTCATAGTAGAATCTCTCATCACCCCTCCCTGTGGACATAGACAAGTTTACCGAACCACGTAAATCTTGTATCTTTATTGTTTTCTGTGTGTTGGCTATTGCTTGTTGGTTTCCTCGATATTCAGACCTAGATCTGATATTGAGAAGAGTGTATATCTCACCTTACTGAGATATATTACTTTTGTTCTTGTTTCCATCGCGAAAAAGGAACATTGAGATTGGCTTGTGTTTTGTGAAAACAAACGCCATGGCTTTCTCTCAAGACGATTCGTTTCCGCGGTGAGGTGGACGTGTCGGTCCCCAACAATTGATATCAGAGCCCCTTGATTAGATTGGTGGTGGTAGAACTTTCAATTTAAGGTGGTGCTTGGTTATTGTGTGGTACACACAAGGTGCTTTGTTGAAATTCCTGAGAGAAGCAGATTTAACTAATACAAGTGGAGAATGGCGTCTACCAGTAAAACGATCAAAGTAGAAAAGTATGAGATTGAAAATTTTAATGGAAATAATGATTTTTCCTATTGGATGATGCAAATAAAAAACTCATTGATTTCATTAAAATTGCACAAGGCTTTGGTAGGAAGCGAAAAGAAGCACAAAGATATGTCTGATGAGAAGTGGGAAGAGTTAGACCTCAAAGCACGAGCGTCGATTATCTTATACCATGAGAGGGATGTAGCTTTCTTGGTGGATGGAGAGGAAACGGCTGTGAGTGTGGTCAAAGTTAGAGAGTACATTCATGACGAAGAGTCTAACAAATCGGATCTACTTGAAATCCAAATTGTATACTTGCAAGATGGAGGAAGGATCATCAATCCGGGAATACATCAACAAGTTCGATATGATCATATCGGATTTGAAGGACATCAATGTGACAGTAGAAGATGATGATCAAGCACTTCTGCTACTTTTTTCTTTATTGGAGTCTTATGAAAACCTGGTACAAACATTAATGCTTGTAGGTGATAATTTGAATGGATGAGACTAGAATGGCGCTTCTAGCGGATGATCTTTAAAAAATTACAACTGGTGATATGACCACTAGTAGTAACAATGAGCATGCACAGGGATTGTTTGTAAGAGGAATGAGCAATGAGCGAGGAAAATGCAATGGAGGAAAGTCTAGATCGAAATCGAGACCTCTTGTAGAAAGACCGTGTTTCAAATATGATGAGCTTGGGCATTTTAAGGTTGATTGTCCTAACAAGAGAGTAGGTAGGAAGAAGAACAATAATAAAACCAAAAGAAGAGAATACAAGGAAGAGGCAAGCTATGTCTCGGAGGAAGAGAGAGAAAAAGAATGCTACACTGTTAAGTGTGGTGAAGATACCTCCGGTAAATGGATTCTTGATTCGGGTTGCTCTTACCATATGTGTCCAAATAGGAAGTGGTTTACTGTCTATAGGAGCATTGATGGTAGAACCGTAATGATGGGGAATAACCATGCTTGTAAAATGGTGTGGCTTGGTGATATCAAAATCAAGATGCATGATGGAGTGGTTAGAATCCTAACGGATGCGAGGCATGTTCCCGACTTGCGGAAGAATTTTATCTTAGTTGGTGCTTTGGACTCTGGTGGCTGCAAGATAGTTACAGAGAACGGAGTAAAGAAGGTTGTTCGAGGTTCCTTAGTAGTGATGAAGGGCATTTATCATGGTAATCTATATACTCTCTCGGGTACGACAGTGACGGGAGATGCAACAGTTAGAACTGATGGAAGTGGTGGAGACTCATGCGAGCACACTTGGTTATGGCATAGGCGGCTGTTTGTGGGAAAATTGAAAGAAAAAATTAAGAATATGTTTTATTGTATTATCTCTCTAACAAACTTAGAAAAAAAATTAATTATAATTCTCTTAATGTAATCTCTCTCTAACAGACTTAGAAAAAGAAATTATAAGCTTCTTATATCGGATTCCTGATTTACAAAAGAGAAGAGGATCGACAGAGATCTTTCCCTTTGTTTAAAACTGGGTTCTTCATAATAGCGATGAGATGCCTCCCTCAAAACTCGCATCGAGTTTGTTTCTCGTTGACGATCCGACCGTCTCACTTCACTGGAACGATTAATACAACTTGTGTGGCAAGTTTTAAGATAACTTACGAGTTTTAGGACTCTGAATGAGTTTAAACTCTGTATCAGAGTTAATTTGAACCGAAAATTAGTTTTAAAGCCAAGTAGAAAATCCCCAAAGATTTTCTGTTGCTGAAGAAAGTTTCAAGATCTCCACCATATTGATATCTGAATCCCAAGAGAAGATCATCACGCCCTCTGCCCAGCCAAAAGATCAGCCCTTATCCAATGATAAAAATCTAGCCCTTAACTCAGTTGAGTTTGTTGAGATTTATACGGAGATTAAGGGATGTAACCGCCCCCCCTCCC